CTAATGAAGAACAGGTCACTGGTTCGATTCTGGTTCCAACGTGTCTCTAATTAATTTACAATTTTGCTGAAAACTGTTTTACTCTTTATATATGTATATTAAATATACGAAATTCCGTAATTACGTATTTCCGGGTCGCGAACCACCGTCCACAGATGAAGAAGTCGTGAAGTTTAATCGCTTTACGGATTCGGTCTGCGGATTTCCGAAAATCCAAAGCCAAAGTAGATCGACAGTGCATCTTGTTGAGGTGTTATAGGGCTGGGATATATCACCATGTTTGTATGTTCTCTGTTATACAAAAAACTGATACTGACTGATAAGTACGTACATAATAATTATTGGTGTTAAAAAAAACCTTACAGTATGGTCTTAACGTAAATGTTGAAAATAGCAGACCAAACATAAAAAAAATACAGACTGTAAGTATATTTTTTAAAATAATAACAGGTTTTGGATCTAGGCTAAGAATTTTCTCCTATTGTATAGCTTATTTGTAGCTTCCAAACATAGTTTTAAAACTATCTTTAAATTTCTCACTCTTCTCGTAGATGTGTTTTAGGTGTCACGGTCGAGGGTCATAAATTACTTTAGTTATCTATATTTGCCTGCTCGCGTCTCGCGTTTGAGCAAATACAACTATTTCTGTTTATAGTCTACACTACAGAAAACAGTGACGTACAAGTTTATAACTTTACACATTTTTTTATGATAGAACAGGATAGACAAGCGAGAGGTTCACTCGATGAAAGGTGAAATATCTCCGACAACATCTAAACAAGATGTGCTATCGACCTATTTTGGCTTTGGATATTCGGAAATCCACAGAAACAAAACGAAACGCGATTAAGTTTGAGGGCTTGAGAAGATGAGTTTATACTCATAAAATAGATAAATATATAAAATATAAAACAAAACTTTTACACACGAATACACTTTGACGTTTGTTGTGTGGTATAAGTATCCCATATAAAAAGCTATAGTCTGTGCAATTTGTTTTATAGGCTATTCGTAATACATAAGTGTCCTCTCTGTGTTCTTTATACCTTAAAGGCACTGCTATAATCGAGCTACCTAAAAAATAATACAAGTCATTGTATGACTATAATATTTATTACAGTAATAGACACCGAATGTAAGCTGATATATATTTATTTCCAAATATAAAGACAGATAAAGAAAACAGTATATGATCAACTAAGTTATTGAACGAAACAATTGTTTTCGAAATAAAACACCTTCATAGACCCATAAAAGTTATGAAGCAAATGTTGAATCGTAATGATAGCATATTTTGTACACCAAGTATAATCGCGTTCAAAGTACAATTTCATAGGAATTAAAATTTTTGTGACAATATTATATTAAATGGAAGTACATATTTTGCGTCTTTTTTTCCATTTACAGAATAACATATAACGTTTATATAGTACTAAATAGATTATGTTTATAGATTACTAGTTGTTTCAGCGACTTCGTCCGCTAAGAATATTTATTTTGGGTTTCCAAATTCGTTGCTGTTACCCACGATGTCGGCCGCGGCCCTTCCCGTAGTTCTTGCAAGTTAAACTTAAAAGATAGACATATACCGCCGCGGATTTTTTTTGATCATTTAAAAAGAAATTATTCTTTCCTACATATTTTTGGGGTATCTTGAACCATTTTTGCAGCGTACGCGTCGGAAACCCATAATGAAGAATAATTTTTCAAAATTGTTCATATTTCTCGCTCTATCTCGCTGCTTTTATTAGTCACAGGGCAATGATTTATAGCCTTCCTCGATGAATGCTAATACTAATAAAAAGAGGATTTTTCAATTCAAACTGGTAGTTCCTAAGATTAGCGCGTTCAAACAAACAAACTTTTCATCTATTTATTAGTACAGATAATAAGTGTATTAGAAGCGCCATATAAATAAAGGAGTATTTATCTTTAAAAAACAGGCCCATTTATAACGTTAAGATCAATTTGCTACTGTGGATTTTAATCTAAAACTTGGAATTGTGTTTATCGTATTAATGAAGATTATGGTGCATTACCTTGGATTTTCGATTTGTGATAAACAAAAGAATCTATAGTAATGTGTGATATTTAGTGTAGTGACTTATTTTGATCGTGTTTGATCTTTTAAATTGGAGTTCAGAAGTTCTATTAAATATAGAATTGCTGAGTTGTTTTGTGAAGTCTCAAAAAATACTAGATATAAACAAAAGCATAAGAGATTTTTTTTCATTGCGTTTTATCTGTATTATTAAATATACCTGACGGTATATGTTAGGTAAGTTTATTTGCTACCACGACATCATAATTGTAACATAGCATCTTTTCCCATCATCATTTTCCCCCCGTGGTCACGGCTGTTGCAAAACATCTTAAACTTCGGCCCATAGTTAATATAAACTGTATAAAAGTTTTACTAATACATATCGCGTTTAAAACCGTAAAAAATGTTTTATTAAAATTGTGTGTGTTAAGTCGATCAAACTTGAATTCCTTGTTTAACCGTTCGTTCAACGGTCGGTAACTAGAGTCGGTTTAAACTTGAACTTAATTTGTAGAAAACACTTTTTTTAGCAACTGTACTCATATAGAGACGCGCTTTACAGCCCCAATAAAACAATGAACGCTTATCGCTTATCAAAGCAGCAAATATTAAATTTATTTGAACGTGTCGTCTGTTAGTAAATTGTACCGTACGTTTGTAAGACCGACGGCTACGTTTGTTTTCATTCTATATTATTCGTATACACTATGTACTATTACGGCTACAAAAAATATACTTAGCACAAAAAAGGCAGAATAATTTGGAATTACATGGCACTCGTACCCGACTATTGCTTGTCACCGTGGTTCAATGGTTAAACGCACAGTATAAAATAGCGTTTGAGGCCAGAAATCCTGGGTTCTTAACTAGCGAAAAAAGTGGATAGTTTAATACAGACAAGGCTCTCTCTCGATACTTCTAGTCCCATCAGAAGCAACCACCAACTTCAAACTTTGAAATTTTAAAAAATTCACTTTAGCATTTTGCGTTAACAAGAGAAACAAGTTAATAATTTGAGACGGACAGGACACAAAACTTATATTATTATTTAAATATTTGTAGTACATTTGACACTTCTACCTCTCTAAGAACACTAGCTCTGAACCAATGACACTGTCAAAGTAAAAACTGCTACGTTAGCGCCATCTGTTTCGTTGAAGTTGGTATTTGGCGAAACTGGCCGGTTCCTTGCAGAATAGACTAACGTTGTCTTCTCGTTTGCCTTTATGCTTTGGTATATTTTGGTATTTGGTTTATGGATATGGGGTCCCTGGGACCCCATATCAAAAAACCATTTGACAAATCGGTGCCGTCCCTATTGAAATTTAAATTTTTGTCATCAACAATTACAAGCAATTTAAGAGCCGGTAACGATGACGGAGTAAAAGATGTGTCTCTGCTCTATAAATAAATCGACTAAGAGATTGTACAAGCTGACTTTCAATTTTGATAAATTATTATTAATACCTATAATTTGCTTATCAAGACGATTACGCGTCACTTAATGGCTGTAAAATAAAACAATTAATATGCAACATCAGTAAAACAATAAAACGAGATTAAAACCTTTATGAACGTAAAATAAATAATAATAATTGTTTGCGGAAAATAATATACGTATTTAATGCTATAAATAAAATTATTTGAACGTAATTGTTGCTAAGAGAAATATGACATTTGTTGTATAACTAGCTAGCAAACGTTATTCTGCCATAGCTACCTATGAAGTTGGTATGTCGACGAATCGGGTATCTTAAATCGTTCTTCCGAAACCCTCACATATGTAAAAAAATTACCATTTCAAATGGTCCAATCACAAATACACAAGTAGATTCAATTCGAAAGATAAACGCGTTAAAGCTAAGAAACTTAATAATATAGTATTATTTCGATGAAACAAGAATTTCATATTTGAAAGCTTAAATTAGTTTTAGTTTTCCGTAAAGAAGTTACTGTTGGTTTGGTTACCACAATGTTTTCTCTGCCTCAACAAAATATGTCTAACTTTACTTTTTCACTGAAATTCGATATTTTCAATCGTCACTTCTGTCATTTTAAATACTAAAAATGCCTGGAATCGGCACTCTATTAAACTGTTTAAATTCAGGAAACCGCTGCTGAATATATACCGAAATCCATCACGCTTTTTATTGCCAACATTCAAAGTTAACACCGATTGTCAGTGCGTGACTTCTTACAAAACAATAGGATCACAACTGACAATGCAGACGTTAAAAAATAATAAATTCAAATAAAAAGCCGGTCTGAAGCGGTGTTGACATAATTCAATACAAAGATGTGATTTAATTAAATTGTGGTGGAAAGAAATTGCTAGTACGTAAATTTTGCCTGTCTCTACCGCCAAAAAGAAAAGATGTTTTATTCATAATTGCCTCAAGCGTAAAGGGCAATATTTTTATTATTGTTATATTATAAAATCCACAGGATTTGTTTACATGAATAAAAAACTTCTGAACTAGTTTATAAATAAAAGGCAGCCTTATCGCTAAACAGGGATCTCTTTCAGGCAACCGGAAGTGAAGAGAAAAACAAAGAGGATTATGGGTAACTGGTGTTAAGAGGAATTATGAATCAGAAAGGCAATTAGGAACTTAAGAGGTTATATTAAAAAATGAGGTTCTGTAAGAACGGTTAATTTGAACTCTATCATTTGGTTAAAACCAAGTATGCATAAACATCTAAGTCTAGAGGTTTATGCATACTGTAAGAGGTTATGCAAACAGTCGTTTACTTACCGGGTTCAATTGATATTAAAAAAAAATTGTTAATGTTAATAATTAAAATAAAAGTGATTACTGTTATTAATTAACAATAAGGTTCCATGTTCTCCGTCGAATTCTTAAGAATCAAGCTTCAAACAATTAATACTATTTTGGTAGGCAGTCAACCACTAAGTTCAAGAGCTGTATTATACTGAGCATAGTTTTTGTTACAGTATGGGCTGAAACGGGAGAGTTTCGGGACAGCGGGCATTCCTCACTAACCTCTGGAGGTTCGGGAGTCGACCAATCTTCCCTCTACGCGCCCCCACGACCACGGAGAGATAGGAAACTCACAGATGACAGTAAGTATGCACGAATATTTGACGAATATGCACGGCATTTTATTGTGTATTAAGTTATGTGCGTCGTAGATAAATAAAAAACAATTGACATTCAGCGAAAGGTTATACTATAGATTTGCTGTTATGTAGAACAGCGCGTCTAGTCTACTTCCGTTACTTCCACAGTGTTACGACATATAGCATACTACTGTGGTGTAACGATGCTGACATTGAATGCATCTTTGTGTTGCAAAAAAGGGCGGTGCGGGCTATCTACGGTATGGGATCTCGGGAGTCATTGAGATATACCTTTAAACATATCGGCATATTTACTGTGTACTCACAGTATATTTATGAAAATTTATTGTATGCCCATAAGAATAAAAGCAAGTTCAGCAAGAATAGTGACAGACATAATTTGAATTTGAGAAATAAGGATAGGATAAGCTAGCTATCCCCAAATATAGGCTCCATAAAATAAGTAATTCATTTGCGGGGAACTGTATTCGTATGTATAATACATTGCCAGTTGAGGTTTCAAATTTATCAATAAATAAGTTCAAAGAAGTCGTAAAATTTAGATTGTCTCAAAAGGCGTATTATTCTTTAAAATACTTCTTTAATGACAGGGCATTGATATGAATTGCTCCTTAGATTTCACTAAATTTACATTCACAAAAAGCCCGACTGAGTTTCTTGGGTGTCTTCTCGGTTGCTCTTTTGAACACTGTAGAATCACGACGAACAGACAGACAAACATATTATGTAATATTTCTTTGACGAATCTAAATATTTTTTTATAATTTTACAGAGAATTAAGTATATATTTTATTTTCAATAGTAAAATAATATTTATTAAAACATTTCTTCGTTTGCTCTATTTAAATTAATTATTGTAAAGTAGTTACTAGACTACTAGTCCTAGAATTTCATAGATTGCAGTGTCTTGAAAATTAATAGACATTTTGTTTTATTTAGGCAATTCTTGAAACGTCGCCTAATGTGGTAAAACTTATATTCTATATTCTCTAGCCAAAAACGGCGACCACACAGAATGACAAAATTAAAACAGTTGGTAAACGAACTAAGCGTTCAAATCTATTAGCAAATACCGCTCGTTATTTTAAGACCTGCACAAACAATACTCTTTGGCGCTTGACACTTCGTATTCATTATTCGTTAGATTTCGTTTTTAATCTCGTGCTCAAAGGTTCGAGTCATGTCAGTGTCATTGCTTTTCCAATAAATGTGTCTCTATGTATATATAGCGTGTAATGTACGTGTATATAGTGAATATTTTAAAGTAAATATTATTATTCCAAATTCAATCTCAACAAGATCTGAAGCTTTCGACTTCCCTGATTTCCAAGGCCTAGGTGTTCAATATTTATAGAATTGATGGCAGGCTTGTAGGTGCAATGCATGGCTAATAATCAGAGTTGGGTTCGATCCCGACAACATTTTTCTCATTAATTAAATAATATAATTATTTGAAACATGTTGGTTTTCGTCTGGAAATCTGGTACTTATGGGTGGTAGGAATATATCACTCCAGGAACTCCGTTCGGGTCACGAGTCACCGACAGATAAAAAAATTGTGAAGTTTATTCGCGATTTGCTTTCAATGTGTGGATTTCCGAATATCCAAAGCCAAAACAGGTGGCGAATCTTGTTCAGGTGTAATAAAGCTGGGGTATTTATATTATAATAATTGAATATAAATACATGCTCGTCTGTCCTCCTATATCATAAAAAATGCAGAAGTAGAAAATTAGCTTCTTAATAATAAGTTTCTGTGACGTGTTTTTAATTTTGACTAACTGTTTGAAAGATACACTACCAAATTACATTGTATATACGTGTACACATTTATGTAGCATTATTAAAGTTTAAAATCTAAAAAAAGTCAAATATAAAACCCCAAGCAATCACATAAACGATTACATAACTAATAAGAGATGTTATCGAACGAGTGTTCGCCTTAAGTGGCATGTAGCGATATTGCTAACACATGTTAACTGTTATTTACTTACCTTGTGTCGTGTCGGCCGAACGCAAAGGTTGTACCAAATGATGGATGGGTCGGCGAGTGCTCAAAGCGTATCTGCGATAGCTCTTATCACAGCTATCGATGTATCGTTATCATTCGCGGCGGTAGTAGCCCTACCCAACTGGGTACCTACTTTAATCCTACTTGTTCTATGTAACCTTGATTAACTTCGTGGTTTGAAAACAATACGAATATTTAAAAAAAATGTCCCGCAACATAACGCTTCACCATTCAACCACAATAGGAAAGCAAACATACAACATACGAGCTATAGAAATGTGTAAATTTAATGATAATTCCAATTTAGTGTTAGTGGTATAATAAAAGCGATAAAATGCAATATGGTGAATACAAACTGTTTTAAATAATTACTTCAACAATATAATTATTGCATAATTAAGCTTTAATCCACTGTTGGTTTGTGTACGTCAAATCAAAATAAGTTGTAGCAATAATTATTCCAGAGATAAGACAGACAAAAAGGCCGTTTTCTTATAAACAAACGTGCAATATTTATATGTTATTTATATCGATTGAATTAATCCTGGCCCATTCATTCAAAAATACGATACATATCAGCATTGTATGTTTATTGTGAATCGTATTTAAGTAATTCATCGCAAACCTAACGCCATCTATCGAAAACTTTCGTCATTTTCTAAACTAGCACTTATAAAACTATATACAATTAAGGAAAAACGAACTAAATGCGTAAAACATTACTCTTATCTTTTTTAATATGTGCAATAAATGTTGCAAACGCAAAAATGTTAATGCGAAATTTAAATTGTAGAAATAATTTAAATTTATTGCGTAATTAATAATCAATCAAGATAAAATCCGGCAATAAAATTGTCTCCGGTAATCCGATAATATCCACGTAAATGCTCTTTGAAGTAATTAATTATTGTATTTTGATATGGGGCAACTTTTGATTCGTTCTGCGAGTGGGGATTTCCAACACTTTCAGATAATATTTTCTTGAGATAATTTTTTGATTCCATACGATGATATATACGTCTGTTATTTATAATGTTTTGATAAATGCAACATACAACAGCATGTATCAAAAAGTTGACAAAATTCAACGATGAGGTGTAGAACTCGGTAGCTCAATTGGTAGAGCAATTGAGCTACCGAGTTCTACACTATCGAGTCCCGCCCGAGTCGATTTTTTTTTTCAATTTATTTTAGATTTTTAAATTATAAAATACAATTTGGAAAGAGACGCTAAATCTATTTACGTTACGTTACTTGCGGATGTAATTTCGCTTTTATACAATTAATACTTTCATGTTTCAATTCGTAATGTAGCCTTTACAAGTAAGGTTAATTTTATTACAGTTAGTTCCTAACTTATATACATATAAATACTGTCTATAGTTTAAGTGAGTAGTACACATTTAAATAAAACACTTTAACGGTTTAAAACGCGATATATACTTAAGTTTAGAGTTAAACTTATTTGAAAATGATTTTTAACTTCGGCCCGACGTTTCGGATGCTTTGCAGCAATATATACATATAAAACAAACAAAGAGTTACACGAAATTTACATTGCTATATAAACGTTCTTTTATAGTTTTTATGTTATTAGTTTTTCTAGACGTCCTAGAGTCGTGAGATATGAATGGTATTTTGATATTGTAAAATTAATGATTACAATTTATAACAGTATATTCGTTTTTTATGATAGAGGAGGACAGAGAAGCATGAAGTTCACTCGATGGTACCAGACATATATAACAACTTTTCATGGATATTCGTAAAATTCCTAACCTACCGTACCGCGATTAAACTTGCCAGCTTTTCCATTGACGGTGGTTCGTGATATCCAGATTTACAGAAAAAGTCATGTCTAAGAAAAGCTATATATTGATTAGAAAATTTTGGGCCCGGTGGGGATCGAACTCGTTGGTTACCTTTACACCTACGTTTAACCCTTCGTAATATTAGTTTAGGCAAAGGTGGACAAAATGCAGGACAATTATAACATGCAATCGGTGTATTGACACGAGGCTTCGACTAAACCCAATATACGGCTTGATTGCCATCGCGCACCGCGTTATCAGTATAACGTATTGATGTAATAACACCCTATCACTGACACTCCATTGTCCCCACTGTCGCACGATTCGGGCATAGAAGTTTGAAAATCGAACGGCTTTTTAAATATCGAATATTGGGGCCCTCCTCAGGGGAGCTTTCGTGCTCCAACAAACATAACGTAAAAATGGATTTCCAAACACCAAGAAATAGAGATTTTAGAAGTATATCTCTATTTCTTGGTGTTGAAGATATATTTTGGAATTATTCACTATTAATAGATTTTAATAAAAAAGTACCTACCTATATATCGTTAGTATTCAGTAATTTGCGAGAATTTATACGGCTTAAAAAGTATCTAACATAAATACAGCCAATACACATAAACCATAAAACTTTAACAATAAAGAAATAAGTAATAAAAACTACAAATTACTACCACAAATCTAAATTATTTTAAGCAGTAAAAGTGTTCATTCAGAAAACGGATAATTACAGTTATATCGTAAACGAGTCCAATGCGTCTGCGCAGAGTTAATCCCGGCATTAGAGGCGGCTAACATTACTAATGATTCACTAGTTTTTATCTTCACGTATAATACATAATTTGTTATAACTACTTATTGATTATTATTAGATATATCTTGTTGATTTGCTAATGAAAACCGCACCGTAAAATTCAGTGGAAACATTTTTTTTACTGCAACTTACGTTTTTGTTTTATTTGCTGCCACATATTGTACAATACACATAAACTTTCTAGTTTTAAAGTATACAATTGTCATTCTGATTTTATTTATTTGTTTCAAAAACTTTTATACGAAATATTTTCCACGCGTTTTACGGTTAAAAGAAAGATCATTAGTTGTAGTTGTATTTTTACATATACTAACTATTGTATGGATTAACTTGTATCTATGTACTATTAATGAACTACACTTTCTCAACGGGGAAAATCATTATGTATCTATAGAAAACAAAGGTTGTGTTCAAATTATTTAGTTACTATTGTTTGAATTATTCGTCTGCCAATATCGGCCACATTGTGGTTAGGTATTACTATGTTATTTCATGTATTCTATTTTAGTTTGTATAATAAAGCGGCTTACCGCCGCTTGCTATGAAAATGATGTTACATATTTATAACATTTGATATGTTAGCGATAGATATCGCTAATCATAGGTATTGGTGAGAAACGTTTATAAATGTATAATTTTTCTCTATATTTAGTTTCTTATTTTATTTGTCTTCTATTATAGTTAGGTTAAATATTCAGTACTTAGTTAACATTATTTTCAGTAATGTAATGATGTCAACTGAACTGAAATGACAATCCTCATACCTATAAATTTACCTTTTGTCAATTATAATTATATTGATATTTTAACCACCAAATTTCTTTTGGATGAACAATGAATTGCGAACAAACCAACCCACGCTTTGATATACAAGTAACGTACTAATTAAATCAAAAATCCCTTACCAGATCGACCTATGACGGAACCCACGATAAAAACGGAATCAACGACACCCGGTGTAGGACCTGACGAGCCTCTAGACGACAAAGGAGACAAGAAGAACAAGCGGCAACGGAGACAAAGGACCCACTTCACCAGCCAGCAGCTTCAAGAGTTGGAGGCCACCTTCGCGAGAAATCGCTACCCTGATATGTCTACGAGAGAAGAAATCGCCATGTGGACGAATCTTACTGAAGCGAGAGTTAGGGTAAGAGATTTACAATTATTATTAGAAAATACGAATCTAACGTTTTTATAAATGCAAGGAGACTGCTTACGTTATTGTGATTTAATATATAATAGCATATACAAGGTTTCCCTTTTGCACATCTTTTAATACTATATGCTCTAACCAACACATTTTTATAATTCAAACCAGTAGTTCCTGAGACTAGCGCGTTTAAACAAACAAACAAACTCTTCACCTTTATAGTTTTAGTATAGATATAACAGTCACATAAAAGTTTTTTTGGTTTTAATGCTGTATTTTTTAGACATTATATACTAAGAAATAAATTTTACAAAAGGCCTTAAATGTGACATTTGCAAACATTCATCCCTTCGCAAATTACAAATAAAATGACGGTTTTAAAACTCTCGCAAACTTAATAATTACATAGTAAAGTATTAAAAAAATTCCGAATATCCAAAGCCAAAATAGGCCGGCGGCGCATCTTGTGTATATGGCTGGGGTTTTTCACCGACACTTGAATACGGGGTACACTTCCCCGTATTCAAGTTTTGTGTGAGAGAATGTGTGCATACATAAATTCCATTTTTTATCGATTTCGTGACATCGAAGGTAATATTAACGGCCTGGATGTTTAGACTAATCGTTGCATCCGGCGCTCTTCGATATTTTTGTATCTCGTCGTCGAACGGAACACGAGATCCCTTAATCCACGTGGATTTTGAGCGTCTATTTTGGTCTTTTCATAATCCCCGGCTTAAATGTGATCGCATCCACACACTGTCAATAGTTTCCGAAGGCCTGTTACAGATTCTGCGGTTCTGCTCGAACTGTATTTTTGACAAACACCCAAATGCGTCGAATAGCGAACGGTTGTTTGAGGATGTGAAGAATTGGGAATCTGGTAATCTTTGAGACGTGTTGTCGTGCTTTTTCAGATAACACCTTACCTTTTTAACAAAGTATTAGATTGTTTACAAAATTATAGTAAGATAAAGTTTATAGGCGTAGAGAAAATCACAAAGTCAAGTAAACGTGTATTATATACGATTTTAATTTGTTTTAGTTCAGTAGTAGTTAAATAGTAGTAGAATTTGTTTAATAAATTGAACCCACAGTGTACATTGGAGTTAACTTTTATAATTTCAAAACACTACGTCGCCTTAATTAATACCATTCTACTTCTAGAGCGAAACTCGATTGATATCACCTAGTATCATTTTATACGATTTAGCAAGGTTTGAAAAACATTGAAATAACTTGCTTATCGCAGAACTTTAAGAAATATTAGCAAATCACATTTTTAAATAAAACACTTTAACGGTATAAAACGTGATATATTAGTCAATCTTAACTAATATATCGCGTTTTAAACCGTTAAAGTGTTTTATTTAAATGTGTACTACTCGCGTAAACTATAGACAGTATTTAAATCACATTTTTATACTAATGTTAGTTTTAACAGTACCTAATAAAATTAAAAAGTAAATAACTTTAGCACAATCTTGTTTGCATTAGTAACATAATACTTCTATTACCGCAATCTGGTAGATATATTTGTAATTGATATTTTCCAATCGTGCACACCGTATTTCAAGTGCTAGGTATTCATTTCATGATCGTCGTTGTCTGTACGTCTGTGTAAGTCTGCGCTCGAACGTCTTCATTAAACATTCTCTACAATTGGTTTTAGGGCTGTCACTATTAGTAAATTATATTATTTTTGTTAAGCGTGACTTAACTTTTAATCGTAATATATATCTATACCAAAATGGTAAGTGACAAAAAACATGTTATACATGATATACTTAAGACATAGGAAATCAATGGCTCAGGTGTGACTTTTAAAAACAGTACAGAATTTTGTGATCGTAGGCTCTAGTCCTACACGTGTCATTATTTAAATCTAATATAGAATTTAATTTAATCGTAACAAATGCTTATTTGAATTTAATATTAATTACGGCAACTCTTTTCAATTAATTAATTTTTATTAATAATTATTATTTCGAACAAGTCAATATTTTGTTTTACAATAACTATTTTGGGCACAATTTTTGTGCAGTTTTAGGCAATTAATAATTAATAAACGGTTAGAATGTCTCATATATGTCTCAGATAATTAGTTATTTTGTACATTTTAAAATAAAAAATAATATAATCCTGTAAATTGCAACCCTACGAAAGGGATTAGCGCCCGTAGCGCGCAACACTTCGCGTCAAATAAATCTGTGCGCGCGCGCACCGATAAATCGTCGAACATTATTTTTGTAACCCACTCATTAGGGTCATTGCCTGCCTATTGCCTCTTAAAATATGATATCTTAAGCCCGATGTTTTGTTAACCACAAACGTTTGCAAATTACTCCTGTCATATATTCGCTAAATGTTTCCGATTATAATGTTGATTTCAATATCTTTATCGTCGTGTTATTGCAGCTGAGTCTCGAAAATTGCTACCATCTGGAATGTTTAACGATGTCATTTTGAAAGTTTTTATTCAAAGAATTTTAGAGGAAATAAGTGAGAGTTTAAATATGTCTTTCTGCAATCAATAACGATTTTAAAAATTGCTAGAACGATCAATTAAAAAACAAGAGACAGTAAAAAATAGACCTCGTCTGTAGCTAAATGGTTAAGCGTGTTGCCTAGCATTGCGTTAAGCGCGAGAGGTTCAGGGTTCGTATCCGGGGGAAACAGTAAATTATTACGGTCGGGAAGGGCACAGAAGTCTGATCAACAGCCTGTAACTAGAACCGATCAGTCAAACCAAAACAGATGTGCGTTCGCCCTATGCCCTGCGAGGTGAAACGAGATTTCACTTTTTTCAAGAATGGTCGGCCGATGTAAAATCAAAGCAAATAAATCCCGCAAAAAATTGTATATTTTTTGGATCAACCAGTTTCAATTGTGTCTTTTTAGGTACATCGTATCAAACTCATTAAATAAGCGTAAATATACTAAATTAGTTCTACCTTTACGCTATATAGAGGAAGAAAAAAAAACACTTAAGTATTCATAATATAGATATTCGGACATTGGTGTCAATTGTTACGTAAACGTGGTTTAAAACAATTAGTCAATTGTTAAAAGCATTGCGTGAAGTGATCGGTGTGGAGTTCGAATCTTGGGAATACATAAATAAAATCTCTACGTTTCCCCGATAACATGGCTGCCGCATAGCATCCTAAACGTCTGGGCTACTAAAGTAATTTGTTTCTATTAAACTACTACACTACTAAAGTAGTAGAAAAGTTTAATTAACATTTCGCGTTTTAAACCGATAAATGTGTTTTTTTTAATATTTCCCAAACAAACTGTATAAATAAACTTTTTCTTCAAGTTCTAGTCTTACAAATATCAATCCAACCAATACAGATGTTAATATATTTTGTATTATGATGTATCGTATAGCAATATCGTTGCTCAGAGTGGTCGGGGCGGGGGCCGTCAACCCAATGGTCCGTGAAACAACTCTTGACACATTTCATTTGGCACAAAACGTGCCGAATACTATCTTGACAGGGTATTAACTAGCGCTAATAACTCTACTATCTTACAGACTGATCAATATACCTTCAATATTAAGATAGTTTATATAAATACTTACGTGTGGGAAAAAATATTTTAAATTATACCACATTAAATTTAGTTTTAAATTAATACGACTTTTTTAATTTAAAAATTCAGTACTCAAATTCGTAATAAAATTTTTTGAAACTGTCTGGAAATCTGGATTTTAAATTGGCTGTAGGACTATCGAAAATTCCGTCCGGGTCACGTACCACCGTTCACAGATGAAGTCGTGAAGTTAAATCGCGTTGCGCTTTTAGTCTGTGCATTTCCACTATTCAAAACCAAAACAGATCGCAAGCGCATCTGGTTTACATGTTATGTGTCTCACTTACCATCGAGTGAACTTCACGCTTGTCTGTCCACCTTTATCATAGAACAATTTTACAACAAATATTTTTGCTGATTAAAGAGTGCATAATTTGATGTTATAGATCTATTCCACTTATATCAAGCTAAATTAAGGTACCAGCAGAAAAAAAAAACTAGTCAAATAATTAATTTATGTATTTTGCGTTAAATCTATTCTGATCCAACTTTTAAAATATAAAAGTATAAAAACTACTTTTAGGAAAACACTAGTTCTATTTGAAAAAAAAGTTGTAACGTAACCATCGACAGGGCGGGCGGACACGTAACATTATTTATTTTACGCGAAGGTTTATGCAGGTTTTTCAACGCTTTCAGAGCGTAGATGCGTGCAAACAGTTTAGCCTTTCACGTTGTTTCCCTAACACTAACCGTGCAGGTTTTAGTTCTACATGTTATCGGACTAAAATGCTTTTGAATATTCGGCGATATTTTACTTGCTATTTCCGTTATTTTTACTGGTATAAAGTACAGTATTTTTTGGAAATAGCATTATATTGTTGGTTAAGTATTATCTATAGTTTACGCGAGCAATACACATTTAAATAAAACATATTTAACGGCTTAAAACGCGGAATGTATTAGATAATTTATTTCTTATTTCATCTAAAAACGGCGCGACGTTTCAAATGCTTTTAGCAGCCGTAGTCATGGGGGGACTGGGGATCAAGTGTGTTCTGAATATCGCCGTCAAACCTGCTATGCTAGCGCCATCTGTTACGGATACCCTCTATCTTTAGTATCGTCGAATTTTTTAACCCATTCATGCACCATTCGCGCAATGTAATTTCAACCTTAATACCTACGTGTAAAGTTTCTTTCTAAAGGTTCATTTCAAATTGTTTTACTCTTGTTGTCTTCATTTCAATTCATTCAGTCATTCATAATTGTAAATGTTGGACTTAGCTAGGATTCAGTTTGAATATATCCACGCCTGTCACAATACCAAATCCAACAAGGAACTACACTGCAAACTGTAAAATGTATCCAATAATCTCGCAAAGTATCGCATCTGATTCCGAAACAAGATTATTGAGGAACGATTGCAAATTCACGTAATACCAAGTAATACTGCC